AATTGTTTAACGTGTCCTGTGCTCTCATATGACCTTATGCAATTGCAAGCGTGTAAAACACTTACCAAATATTTTATTTTAAATCAGAAGAAAAAGAGAGGAAAAAAAAACAACAACAGTTAATCAGAAAACGAAGAAGCGTACCAACCAGAAAGAACAACCAAATGGGTTGAAAACTCCACACAAAACAATCCGAGTTCAAAAGAAAACGAGGCGTACAGCATGAGGTTGAAAAATCTTTACTGTGCAGCTGGTTGTTTTTTTAATTTTAAAAAATATTTTTCTTTAATTCACAATCCATAAAACAGGGGGGGGGGGTATATTTCAATATGACAAAAGAAATGACAAGAGTACAATTTAATGTAGATCTATTTCTGATTCAAATTAAATTAAAGCTTATATGCCTAAAGAGCGTAAAAATAGTGTGAAATGTTCAGTTTTATTGTGACCTCCAAACAATGCATTTTGTAATCATATTATTATTAATATCATTATTATTATCATTGTTATTATTATTTATTTATTATTATCATTATTATAATTATTATTATTATTATTATAATTATTATTATTAGTGATACATCTATTATGTGTTTTTATGATCGCGAAAATAGACATGGGGGAAGCAGAACCCAGTGTTTGCAAGCTGTGTACGGAATTTCGAATTATAGATCTACTCACATCCGGTTCCGCCAGCCTACTTCCTTTTTTGTTGGTAGTTCAACAGACACAGCAATCATGGTAAGGTTGACGATCTAAATCCTTAAAAATCGAGGTGTATTCACGTTATTTCAACTAAAATATTGTTCATGTATTTGCATTTATGTCCAATGAAGACTATAGTATTATTTGCGATGTGGATTATTGCTAGGATTGCTGAAAAAATGAATTATAATTCCACTCCAACTTGGTGAGAAAAAGTGTGTTGCCTCCGTAATGTGCAATGTTTTTAGTCAATTTAGTGTTAAGCATAATAATTTTGTTGCCCCTGAGAATACACTGTATTATTCCCTGTCACGTTGTGCTGTTAAGAGCCAGATCTTGAATTGTTTTACTAGATTCTAGATCTGTAGTGAAGTTTGTCTTATTAGTGTTAAGATGCAATAACTTTTTTGCTGTCTGAACTCTGCCAGAAGATTGTTTTGACTCGAACTCGAGTGTCTTGAGTTGAGATGAAGAAGCGCTAACAAAACTTCATTAAGACTAAGAACTGAAGATTTTGAGATTTCAAATGCACATGACACTGGGCACACTAGGCTTAAAAATGCAGTTGTTAGGTTTGCTATCTTAGCTCGCCGCGCATCAAACGTAGGCCGGTGCCGGTATTTTTTTACTTTCCCTCCCATCTCACTCTTCTTGACTTCTTTTAGTTTTTTATCTAGAGTGGTGTCGCCGGTACGCGTGCACTTCGCGATCGTTGAACGTATTTTCCGCCATTTCCGGCTTTGTACTTTCGTTTTTAGCTATTCCATTCAAGAAACTATTGACCTATAAAATGGTCTTGCTCATAGTCGCCAGATTTCTTAAACGTTGTGTGCCGAACAGTTTTTCCAACCTAGGGTGTTGTCTTCACTGAGCGTGCATTTCTTCTCAGTGCGTGCATGGGATTCTTCACTGTGCGTGCACCCATATATACACGTTGAAAGCCAAAAGAAGAGGAATCTGATAACATTACTGCATTAAATGACCACACAGGAAGATAACAAGTCACTTTAGAAGCAAATTAAGGCAATTTTAATTAGAATCTAAACTAATTTAATTTAGGGGGTATAAATAGTTCAAATACATAGTGAAAAAAAATCAAACAGAATTTTTCACAACTAAAATCCACATTTTCCTACTCTTCATCACTCATTCCTCTGATCTTTCCATCTTTCACACAGTCCACATGCCACCATCCATGACATTCTTCAAACTGCAACCAAATAATCTCTAAAATTGAGTCTACTTTTTTTCTTAGTATTCTACTATATATTTCATTGTGCACGCGCAGAGAAAACTCGAGTTTTTTCAGTCTTCACAACGCGTGCACCCCCCCGATCCCGAAACCCGCAATACAACTTGGCATAGAACTCGATAAAAGGTCACGTGAAACACTCAAGGAAGGAGTAGGCACATTTTTTAAGCTAGGGGGCGCGCACAGTCTATTTGAACCAATCAGAGGCAAATAGCTCATAAAAACTAGTTCACAGGTCAGCATTGAATGTCAACTTGCCACAGCTGATAAAAACACTCTCGATGATCCCTTGTCGGCAAACGAGTGATGGAAGTAAGCAAAAATGGCTGCTGCACACACTGACGCATTCAATCAAACGCAAAAACGCAATTTGAGGCTAAAAACAAAGGAAAACAAAAGTGCACGCACCGAGAAGGCGCACGCGCAGGGGCTACACCACTCTAGATCTAGAGTAGATCTACAAGTTGTCCATTTTTTACTGGTCTAAATATTGATGCGCTGAACATGAATATGGTAGAATCTAGATTAGAGTACGCAGTGGCAATTGACAAAAATTGACTTTTTGTCAATTTGCCACCGTGTGGAGCGGTGTCAAGTCTGAAAACAACACTAGATCTATCTTTAGCAATACATAATGTGTGTCTAATGGGTCAATTTGTTCTCAACTAATTTCATTGGACGAGCATCTAGAATCTTGATCTAGAATCTAGTCTAGAACTGCGGTACCAACTTGGCGTGTTTTCAATGAGATGTAGATCTAGAATCTAGATCTAGGCTAGCCTTAGCCTACACTTTGGTGTAGAGCCAACACAGGCAATTCTAGAAGTAGGTCACAAACTCAAGCAGAAATTCACGTTATGGGGTCAGGAAAAGACACACACACACACAACACAGGGAGGGACAGAGGCGCTTTTTCGGTAGTTCCCACCCTGCAATTGTTATTCACAGGTTTTGGCCCCAAGAATAGGGGGGCTTGCCCCCCTGACCTAACAAAAATAGGAAGGGGGGTTTCAGGGGGGCATGCCCCCCTGAATTTTACCACAATTTAATGTTTTGCTGTTGTTAGGTTTGATATCTTAGCTCACCGCGAATCAAATTTATAGATCTAGAAGTAGGTCAGGCTCAAATAAGGGGGTTGGGAACTACCGAAAAAGCACCGGGACAGGCGAACGCACAACATCGAGCACAATAAGCTAGATCTAAATCTAGATCTACCCACCAACGCAAAAGAGCTCCTATTTACTCTGTGGCAATTGCCGCCGCGTCACTTGGTGGGAATTGAAACTACCTTTTGAAGGAAGTGGCTATTCTCATCCGGGGTGAGAATAGAAGAACGATCTACCTCTCACCCCGGGTGAGACTTGTCAGCGTAGGCTATTCTCACCCGGTGCGAAACAAGACCTGCTTTTCCTCATTTTGGAATACTGTCTATCGGTGTGGATGATCAAATTGATAAAAGCCAAGAAAAAATTGCGTTATAGCACAAAAGTAAGCTAATTTGATCGTCTTCAAAGATGCTATGGCTATTTCACTGTTCGAATCGAGCCGAACTACGCGGGTCGCCATTTTGTTTTGCCCGGAAGTTCTCGCAAGATCTACTCCTCCCCTCTCTTTCTGAATACTGTCTATCGGTGTGGACGATCGAATTGACCAAAATGATGTTAAAACACAAAAGTAAATTAATTTGGTTGTCTACAAAGATGCTACGGCTATTTAACTTTTCGAATCGAGCAGAACTATGCGGGTCGCCATTTTGTTTTGACCGGAAGTTCTCACGCTACTCCTCTCTCCACTGCCCACATACAAAATTGTACGCTTTTAGTAGGCTACAGTTGTAATGGAACGTTTGTTCACGGCACAGAATTCTACAATTTTTCTGTTATCACAGTGTAGAATTCTGTGGTTTAGGGTGAACGCAAAATTTGTTGGCCTAGATCTAGGCTATAACAGTGAACGCGCACCGGGTGAGAATAGCCAAAAGACTAGCCTGCACTATTCTCATCCCGGATGAGAATAGTGGTGGCCCTTTTGAAATATGTGATTCTTCTTAAATTGAGGTGGACATGCTTTGGACTTGGACGATTCAGGGGGTTCCACAGGGGCCTGCCCCACTGGGGAAAAAGAAAATCTGAGGGGTTACAGGGAGGCATGCCCCCCTGTGTTAACCCATAATTTGATATTTTACAGTTAAGATTTGAAATTTTATTGAAAATACAGTCAAACCTGTGTAAGACGGCCACCCATTGTCAATGAGAAAAGTGGCCGTAGACAGGTGGCCGTCTTAGGCAGGACTGATCAAGATAAAGGAAACGAACCATTCCCATCTGAAGCCCCTATCGAAAGTAGCCCCATTGTTGTTGTCTTTGTTGGTTTGTATTTCGTTTGTAATTTTTTATTTTGTCGCTGATTTTGCACGACAATGGTGACAATAAAACGAAATGTATCAGACAAGGGAGACCGAGTGCCATGCTAAAACAAACACATGGGTCGCCACCAATCGGAGAACGAGGGACGCTTCTGTAACAAGTTCATGTTGACGTCCTTTGTTACTTTGTTACAGACTAGGTAAACAGTAACCACTCATCTCACTTACGATTTGTGTGTGAGTTCTGGGCGGGGCTTATGGGTTATGAGGGATCACACGCTTACCTCACCAGCAGCTATTGGTCAACAGTGGGAGGGGCATACGAAACATGATCAGTTGGATGGACTACCTAACAACAAGGACAGGTGATTGAATTATGACGGCTCGTCTACAACGCCAGGGGCCAATGCACAATTTATGACAAAACGTAATGGAGTCACTAAGGCAGGTGACCGTCTTAGACAGGTATTATTGATTAGTATTATAGGGGTTGTGTGTTAAATTATTGTGGCCGCGTTGGACAGGTGCCCGTTTTACACAGTTAAATTCTATAGAAAAAACGCAAGAGGGGGAATGAAAAGTGGCCGTCAGGGCAGGTTCGACTGTAATTGATTTTAGTGGCTTTAGATCTAGATCTATGTGTGATCTGCAGCAAACAGTACTGCATTTTGACCCCTGAAGCAGTGCATTTGTGTGCGGGAGTGAAAGTAAAAATTTACCTGTAGGCCTATAGATCTACTCTGGATGTAGATCAAGGTTAGATCTACTCTAAATGTAGATGTAGGCTCAAATAAGGTTGGTAGGAACTCCCGAAAAAGCACCGAGTAAGCACCTAGCACACCTCTGATAGGCCCAAACGTAAATGACATATTTTCGCCAGTTGACTAGATTTAGATCTCACAACCGTAGCGGGCCCACTTTGCAACTAAGCGCGCGATGGGCTTCATCACTAGATCTAGTCTAGGTTTCATCACCGACTGCTTGGGCTCTGTGTGTGTAGAACTTTGAGGAGAAGGCAAATTTATTATAGTACTAGAATTGCTGAGGTTGTTTATAAAAGATAACACAAATTAATACCATCAACAACAACAAAACGGCGAGGGAAACCCTAGAGAATCCCAGAAGACTACAAAAATGGATTGCAGAAATACATTATCTATATTTGGGTCGATCACAGGTGTGCTAGGTGCTTGCTGTAGCTTCATGTAATCATTACACTCTTATTTCACAAATATTTCTTCTATCATCCTATTGGGCCCACGTGTATTTAGGCTAGGACTACCTGTTCTCAACACCCATGTGGAATAAAATCCATTGTATTCTCAGACCGGGTGAGAGTAACAATATTATTCACACCCGCGGTGAGAATGACAGCTGAGAAGAAAGGCTGGCATTAGGGCTACGTAATTGTTTTGTGCTGACCATGCGTGACATTGCGGTTGTTTTTGTTTTGTCCCTAATCTGTTTGCGATTTATTCTCCCACAGGCAGATGATGAGCAAGCCTTGGCTGAAAAGAAGAAGAAGAGGACTTTCCGTAAGTTCACCTACAGAGGGGTTGATTTGGACCAGCTCTTGGACATGTCCCTGTAAGTGCTCATGTGTTGTTTTTCCTTCTCTTGGAAATGTACAGTAGATTGTTTAACAATTGGGGCTTTTACGGAAATTCGTAAGTCCCTCAAATAAAAATCAAGAATGGCCATCTATATTAGAATAGCTCTTGAACCGTTATTTTCACACACACACACACACACACACACACCACATCCTGGTGTGGTCAAGAGGCGAGGATTCATCCCTGGCCTCTTGCAGGCCGATAAAATCACATGGGCCCTTGGTGACTTACTGCATGTGGTTGGGAAATAAGTGCTTGGGGCTTGTTTTCTGGTGTAGAAGGCAAACTGTTGATTACCGTTGCCATAGCCTATCGTAGAAAAAACATTCTGCTCTTGACGTTTCAATCTTGCATAGGCTAACCATGGAATAGAGTTGCTTCGTCCCCGTTCTGGTTAGTTGGGGCCAGTCATCAAGACTCATTGCATGACTTCGGCGTGTTTTTCGTGTGTTGGGGACCATCCGTTGACGGGGTCATGCACACTGGTTGAAGCGTCTTTCTGGACTTATTGGGGGGGGGGGTAGACACTTGAACCAGGAGTGCTTGACATGATACTTCAGGATTTTAAAAATAACACACACAGGGTGTATACATGAATATGTATTATGGACACCCCAGGAACATTTTTAGTCAAGCTTGGTGGTTAACTTGGTGATTTGCTGTTGATCCCTATTTTTTTCTCTCTGAGATCCTGATTTTTAAAGGTTTTATAGAGTGGCAGGTGTGCGCTTGAAAAATTGGAACATTTAGCTACTCTACCTCTGACCCTGTATGTGATTATATACCCATGATAGGTGTTTATCAGTACATGAGAGTGTACTACAAGGGAATCTTATGCTCGTACCCAGGAAGATGATGAATGAAATTAACAGTGGTGGCAGCACGGTTGACAGTGGTGAAAATTAATAGGCTTATGTTGGGGTTGTTGTTTTTTGCCTTGGTGAAAATGTATCTTATTGCCGTGTTGTACATTGTGTTCCAGGGACCAGTTGGCAGATATGTTCAACTGCAGACAGCGTCGTCGTTTGAGCCGTGGCTTGAAGAGAAAACCACTTGCTCTCATCAAAAGACTGAGAAAGGCCAAGAAGGAAGCAGGCCCTCTTGAAAAACCAGAGGTTTGTGGGATTCCATAGTTCAAGACAACCTTTTTTAAAGGTTGATCTCAGTTTCTTGATGGAATTTTTTAATCACCGTCATAACCAGAACAGTTCCTTGTGTGGCAGGTCTATTTTTTAATGATTATTTTATATGTGAGGCAGCGTGGTGGAATCAGGCTCACGTCAAAATAATCAAAGTGAAGAAACTTGCATTTTTCCACACGTTTGTGAATTTTCATCATTTTTGGGGTTTTTTTTAGCTTAACACCTTTCATGCCCATTAAAGAACTCCTTTCTATGTGGATTTTTCTGAAAAACGTTGATTAAATGCATAAAAAATGTAAATTTTCAGTTACCACGGACTCTAAAGCTAAAGAAATAACTAATCTTTGGCAGCCATTTTCTCACTAATTTTACCTCTGAAAACAGGTGACCCCCTCCTCCTTCATTCACAAATATCTCGACTTATATTCAAGATAAATGATATTTTTTTCATCCAAGTAAAGACAAGTGAACAAGCTTTAAGATGATACCAATAACTCTACATGCCCAAAAATTGACGAGAGCCTGATTCCGCCGCGCTGCCACACATTATGGTAGTAGCCTAGTTCCATCTAAAAACCCAATTTTTACAGATTCATACTTAATGGATGTTTTATTTTTTATCCTTCCCTGCACTCTTTAAATGAATGTGCAGATTTAACAATGGTTTTCATGTTGTAGGCTTCGTGTTTTGGGGGTTATTTTTTATTTCCAATGATAAAGTAAAGACTGGCAATATGATAAAATCTGGTTTTGGGGTAACCCCTTTCCATTTAAAGCAAGATTCCGTTCTGTGTTGTGGTTTGTCATGTTGAACAACCAGTGTTGGTTGTTCTGATGTAGTGTTGGGGTTTTTAAAGGGAATTATAAGCCATACCTTAAAACTTACAGCTGGCATTTTATGTTTGTTGATTTTGTTCCCCAGGTGGTCAAAACTCACCTCCGTGACATGATCATTGTCCCAGAAATGATTGGCTCAGTTGTCGGTGTTTACAATGGCAAGACTTTCAATCAAGTTGAAATTAAGGTATGGGTGTTTGTGTATTCATAATATTTCTCTTGTTGGGTAGATCATTGAAAGCATACATCTATTGCTCATAGGTGGCAACCAGTACATTTTTTTAAAAATGTTAGTGAAGTCCACTTAAAACGAGTCCTGAAATGACACGGTTTGTTATAGACACTTTTTTTTTTTTTTTTTTCCCTTTTTTTCCCCTTTCTTTATCTTTGTAAAATTAAATACTGTTATGGCGCAATCGGACAAACTCATGAGTTGGTTATCGCAGAATATTGCTGCTGCTGTGCACAGCGCATAGGCCAATTATACATATATGTAAAACCTCGCCAGTTGAGTGGGTGGTTGGCGGGTGCTCTGGTGTGGTTTGCTCCTTCTTTCCTCAATAAAAAAATCTGTCGTCTCTATCTCCCCTCCTTTTTTGTGTTTATTACTCTCTTGTAACACCTCTAATCTTCTGCACTTATATGACCTTATTGTTTTGCAAGTGTCGTAAAACTCTAAAACTAAGCCAGTTGAGAAACTTGTTGGTGTAGGCCATGTGTGGAATTGGGACCCATGATGCTCGTACCTTGTAAGCCTTGTCTTGTTTTGGTTTTTTTAACAAAAGGTTCACTTTTACTGGATGGGGGATAGTACGTTTATTTCATTGTCTTCGGGTGGGTTGTTTTAGAGAAGTGTGACCTCTTCAAATGCATACTTTTTTCTTGTCTCTTTCTCTCTCTGACTCTCGTGATAGTAAATTACACGTATTATCTTTATTTGAGCTTTCTGTTCAAGATTCGCAGTGTTTCAGTGTCACTGCATCTTGCCCTCCCACAGTTCTTACACTTCTCACACTGAATAGGTCTACTTGAGCATTTTTATTTTTCGCGTTTATTAAATAAATCTTGACACCCAAACTGTTTCTTGACAGTCCATGTTCTGGTTCTAGGCCTTTTTGTCTTGCTCAAAACAAGATTAATTTTTATTTAGTTTATATAGGCAAATGTGATGAGGGTAAAATGTAAATAAGTAAGAACAGGTTGAAATATGTAAGTCGCACAGTGTCCCAGTGCCACTCTGACATGTTGACTGGATATAATGTACCTACATGCGTGGTGTGTCTGTGTGTATAAATGGAGCATGCACTGTCGTTGTTATGTTACATGCCCCTGGAAAATTGAGAAGCCGGTTGGCCACCCTGACGGTTAGTAAGGACTGCAACTCGGACAGGTTGCGATGTGAAGGCGCAAATACTCTTTATATTGGCATATCTTTTCATACCTTGGCAAAAAACCTGGCCGTATAATGTTTGACTGTATTTTCTGATTTTCTCATATTACCCCTCGTGGACTTACCGATGCTGAAGAAAGACTTCCTTTAAAGTTAAAATGGTGTTTACAGCCATTCATAGTGTCGACTGCTAAGATCAGGCATGTTTAAATTGTCCGAATAAAAGCTGTTGGGGGGGGTGGTATTAAATTTTAGTCAGTGAGTTCCAGGAACAGCCAGATGACACAGCAGTTTCTTTGATTTGGTTATTTCAATTAATTTCAATTTTTGTTGTGTAGTTGGTGGGCTGTGGTGTGTTTATCATTCTTTTTCTTTTTAGATTATTTTAATACTAGATCTAGTAGCATCTCTAATCTTCGGCACTTACATGATTTTTATTTGTTGCAAGTGCCATAAAACTGCAAAACTGTTGGGTTTTTGTTTGTTTTTTAAAATTAATATTTGTTTTTGTTCTTTTCTTGTCTGTGCAGCCTGAGATGGTGGGCCACTACCTTGGCGAGTTTTCCATCACCTACAAGCCTGTCAAGCACGGTCGCCCTGGTATTGGTGCCACCCACTCTTCAAGGTTCATTCCTCTGAAGTAGATCAATGTAATAAACTGGTTTTGCCCAGAAACATACTGGTTCACAGACTTGTCTATTTCTTTCATTAAGTGTGTTGGCTGTTGTGCTTATGTATAGAAGAGCCTTCGTTTTGTAGATCACTGCGAGATCGTTCAAGTTTCTTTTCTTGAACAATGTCATGCACATAACTGTGCCTGAACTACAACAGGGAACTGCTGCTTTTTCTTTCCTAATCCTTGCTATCGTCAATCCTCTACTTCTTTTGTGTGTTTGTCACACTCTTGTGACCCGGGTGCCTTGATAGTCGAGCAGACCTTGTGCTGTTGAAGCTAGAGAGGTGAGCAGAGTACGTCTGATTCCCTGTCAGGACTTTTCTGTTGACATCTACCCCTTGGCGCTCATATGACCTTTTGCTGTTGGGAGCGCTGCAACACCTCTACTAATACAAGCTCTTTTCTTGAATTGTTTGTCCTTTTCAATATGAAATTATGTGGGTTTAAAGCCCTTTGCAACTCTAAGGTTACCAGGGCATTAAGAGGTTGGGAACTGAATTTAGCACCCATCTCAGATTGGATCGAACCAGGTGGGAATATTCATGTAAAGTGCCTTTCCCAGGGACACAAGTTGGGTCGTGTCGATTCTCGAACCCCCAGACCTAAAATCTTGGGACAATGGGATTACATGCTCGGTATCCTAACCACCAGACTATCAATGCTACATATTGGAGGTAGGCTGCTTGTCATGGTTGTATGTCTATTTTACCATTATAATCAGTTACTTCCTTTGGGGTTTTTTTTACTATCTTTTTCTGTTTGGCTTACTGAACTTACTCTAATTAGTGTGTGGTCGGCAGGTGCTCTGGTGTGGTTTGCTGCTGCTTCTTTCCTAACAAACATCTATCGTCTTTGTGTCTCCCTTCGTTTTTTTGTGTTTGTTACTCTCTTGTAACACCTCTAATCTTTGGCACTTATTCTAGGTACCACAAACCCAAATTTCAAAGTGCTTTATCAAACATATGTTTGTTGCATCATAAAGAACTATGCAAACCACAAACTTTGGTGTTTGAATTATAGAAATCGGACAATAAATTTTAAAAATGACAGGCGTTTGAATTTGAAATTTGTGGACATCGTAAATTTTTGGCAACTTTAAAATCACGTTAAAAAGTGCCATTTTGTGAGTTCACAGAAAATTTATTCAGGTACATAAAGTGTGTGTTATCATTTGTTTCAACAGGTGCCAGTATAAACTATACAAAATACCAAGACGGCAAGATGAGGACAATCAGAGTTTAAATAAAGCCAATACAGAGACTTAAAATTGGAAAAAAATTACTACTTGATGCATAATGTTAATTCAAAAATGCTAAAAAGATTGATTTCAGACATCAATAAAATGGAAAGTTATTGCTGAAAAGAAAAGAAACTTACAGAACATATTCACAGTAGTGCAAATTCATAGCCCAATTTTTTTTTCAGAGTTCTGCCACTTCAATTTAATCAGATGGAACCACAAAAATGGGAAATTTTGCGTTATAAACAGAAAATCACAACACGGTACACATGGCCTAAACACTTTTCTGAATAAAATCACCTAAAGTCATGGTAAATGTCTGAAACTTTCCATGCCAATGTACTTTTGGACCAGGGATCTATTTCTGTTATCATTTCTGTGATAACATGAAGCATTACAATGATATGAGGTTAGATAGAGAAGAAATTATGCGGCATAATTTCAACAAATTCATCTATAACTTCTATAGAACAAGAAAGACGCCCCAAAGCTCTACTCCTATGTGTTTTTGGGCCAGGAATCCATTTCTGCAATCAAATCTGAGATAAAATGAGGCATTAAATGATACGTTCTTAATCTTACTATTTCTGACCATCTAGCCATACCGGTAGCGTTCAGTTTAGAGCAGAGACTAGTTTAGAGCCGGCGGAACCGAACTTGCGATATTTGCTTCAAATCAGGGCTGGGCGGGCAAAGCGTTTTCCGTCTTATATAGTAGGCTACTGTCCCTACCACGAAAATCACCTTGACACTTGACCCGTCACTAATTGCAACAGAATTTCTGTTTTGCGGTAAACTGTATACAGTCGAACCTGCCTTAACGGAATCTCCCTGCTCCCCCCTTGATATATTCCTCTATTTATCTGTGTATAAAACCGTTTTAAACGGAAACCTGTCCAACGCGTAAACGGAAAGAAAAATCCGCTCCCTTCCGAGGGTTTCACCTGTCTAAGACGGAAAATGCTTTGCACACTCAACCTTGATTTGCATTTTTGAAATAGTAAAATTGCAAGGTAAACCGCCTAAAATTGCATCCTTCCCATCCCAGGCGCATTAATACAGGCTTAACATTTTTAGTTTAAAAACATGACAATTTTTGAGTACCGGTAGCATTTAAGCCTTTTAAAAGATCATGACAAACAATACAAATTCATCAAATGTTATTAACAACATTTACTAGTAACAACACACGAGTACGTTAACAATAAAGTTATCGACCAAATATAATATGATAACGCGGGGACACAAAATAACGGAACCCTCGGTTTTCGTAATAACTTTTAAATGAAGGCATGAAATTTGATCAAATATAGTAGCCTACTTACCGGGTAGGGTACTTGGTTCATGCAAAAATCTAGAAGTGTAAGACTAGAGGTTTAGGCTATAAATTATAAAAAACAAAAAAATTGACGGAGATTTTCGAAACAACTTCTAAATACAAAATAAGCTTATGCTCCAATCAAATCAGATCCTGTTCCAATTTCCTCTTGAAACCTTCGATACACCGGTAATCTGTATTTAGATCTATTTCAGATATTTTCTGTTTTAAAACCGGCATGGTATTGTTTTAACACTAAGTCAAATCATAAAATACAGCAAATTTTTTTCCCATTTATAAACAATAGTAATACAGGTACTAGTGTAGATCTAGATTCTAGATCATTTCTATAGCACCCACTCCAGTGTGAACGCAGCTAATAATAAGGCGTTTTACATAACGGAGTGTTTACTTACACGGACACCTAGCCTCAGTGTCTACGTAAACGGTACTTTAACCGACAACCGGGCACGTAGTCTCAGTGTCCACGTACACGGTAACCGGGCAGTTAAGAATTCCAAGTTCAGTTTTTGTCATCCGGTGGTGCTTTCAACTCCAGCCCTCCCCTGACTACTTTTTTTTTTTTTTTAATCAATAATTCTCCCATTCCGGAGCCCTATACTTAGTAGCGCACAGACTTTGAATGAACTTTGGTGACCCCAACCGGTACTCACAATGCGATGCAGGAGCATTGGTTCACTGACCGGTAACGATGGCGAGCCCGACAAGACGCGTGTATAACTTTCTTTTTTAAATTTCAACAAGTGACAGCACAGGACAAATTGGTTAATTTTCATTCCGGTGGGTTACCGTGTACGTAGATACTGAGACTAGGTGCCCGGTTACCTTGTATGTAGACACATGACATGTTGTATCATGTACGAACAATATTCACGCGCCCACTCACACGCACACACACTCACGTACACCTCACACACGCACACACCTACTTTCTTATCACACGCGCACGCTCACACACATTAGATAAAGGCCTAGCCCAGAGAAGGCCACCTTCTCGGCCTAGCCTCTCTGTCCCCGTAGGATTATGCGATTGTGCGGCCGCGTTTTTTTCGCGTAATTCTGCAACATTTGCATGATATTAATTTTGGATTATCCGCGGATTTTTTCCCCTTTTTTAACTGTTTGATTTTGCACAAAACAATGAATGTACGCCTCGCCATGTGACTAAAGGGACGTTATCCCCGTAATAACTCTCATTTAAATGAAAAGTTGGTTATTTCCCTTGTTAGAAGATCTTTGTTATAATGTGTTGTGATTTTGTTCCTTGAGCATGTTCAATTTTTCAATCCATCAAAATTCAAAGGTTGTTGTTCTCATGTCTGCTGATGTTTTATGTTTGACAGGTGTCCCTGGTTTTAGTAATGTGCCAGCATCAGAGGTCCAGATGTCCTTTCTTTTTTTTTTTGAAACATTTTTCTTTCCTCTATAGATCTAGATACAGTGGAAACCATATATAACAGGCCCGGTAATAACAGGGATTTTTTAAATCCCCGTTTTTTCCTACTCTTTGTCTCTATTAAAAGTTATCGGCAATAACAGGGCCTCATCGGAGCCCAACCGGTTATAGCAGGGACAAAGGCTCGTTAACAATGAGTAAAAAATGAGAGAGAGAGTAACGCAGTGATGGAGCAAGCCCACGCAAGCCATGCCACTGCAAGCACACGCAGCGTGTGAAGCAAGAGAGGGCTGCAGTGTGCTGCAGACCTCGATCTAGCCAGAAACCTAGCAACACGCACTCATAATGCGTCACCAACGATGTCAAGCGCTAGAGAAAATGCCTTTCAATTGACAAAAATACGAAATAATCCAGACTGTTGACAAAAAGCAAGCTCCACTGGCAGAGATTTGTCGTCAGTTCGACTTTCCATAAGGGTCGATTCACACCATTATCAAGGACAGAGAGAAGATAGTGGCAGCATACTCCAATGAAAAGTTTGCTCTGGATCGAAAGAAGATGAGACTACCCGACTGATGCAGATGTGGTGGACCAAGCTCTTCCGATGTGGGTTAAGGAGGCAAGGAGAAAATTGGTGCCAAAACCCCTGTTCGTGGGTACTTGTGGCTAGGGAAACTACCCATGAATAAGTACAGCTGGATTAGTCCACAAATGTTTACTTTCCTTTGCATTTCTGATTTAACAGGGATCGGATATAACAGGACATTTTTTCTACTCCCATCATCCCTGTTATATCAGGTTTCCACTGTACTTGTTCTAGATATTCTAGATCTACAGCTGAAAGTTACAGAGATGATTATTTTTGGTTGTTGTTTGTTGTTTTTTTGTTGTTGTTACTGATGTGTATTGCTTTCTTTTCCAAATACACAACAAATTACTGATACTGATAAGTTCTGTTTTCAATTTTTCTGTACATAAAACATGAAAATCATGACACTTCGTGTTGAACAAATGCAAAACATGTCGCGAGT